ACAACTATCTACTGGGGCTTTGGGGAAAAAAAATAAAAAATAAAAATAAATAAATAAATAAATAAATAAATAAATAAAAATATGAGAAATTCTTCAGGTGGAAGAAAAATGATGTAGGTAGAAATCTGAATCTACACAAAGGAATGAAGAGCTACATGGGTAAGTATAAAAGACATTTTTTTCTTATTTATCTAAATCCCTTTAAAAATAATTGACTGTTTAAATTAAAAATAATAATGTACTGTTGGGTTTATAACATAGGTAGAACTAAAACGTATACAATGGTAGCGCAGAGGCCGAGAGGAGGGCTGGAGGCACACTGCTGTCAGTCCTCATGCTCCCTGAGAAGAGGCTTGAGATGACTGCACGGTGTGCTGGAGTGAGTTACAGGTGTGCACCTAAACTCTGACGCCACCACTGCGACACCAAGACAGAGAGTCATGACTAATAAGTAAACAAAGGAGATAAAGTGGAGGCATACTGTGTAGGCAGTTAACCCAAAAGATGGCAGACAAAAAACAATAGGAATGGGGGAACACAGAACAGATGCTAAAGATAGAAAACAAATAGGGATGATAGACTTAAACTCAGCTCTGTCAACAATCACTGTAAATGGTCTAAACACCCCCAATTAAAAGGCAGAGATTGTCAAGTAAAATAAAAAAGCAAGTTCCAACTGTATGCTGCCTTCAAGAAACTCACTTGAAATGTAAGGACACAAATAAGACAAAAATAAAAGATGGAAGAAGATACACCATGCTAACACTAATCAAAAGAAAGCTGGGGTAGCTATATGAATAACAAAGTAAATTTCAGAGCCAAGAATACTACCAGAGATAAAGAATGATCTTTCGTAGTGATAAAGGGGTCAATTCATCAACAGAACATAACAATGCTAAATGTTATGATGCTAATAATGGAGCTTAAAAATACATGAAGCAAAAAATGATAGAACTGCAACAGACAAATCCACAATTATAGTCAGAGATTTCAACATCCCTCTCTCAATGTTTGATAGAATAAGTAGACAGAAAATCATAAGACTATAGAAGACTTGAACAGTATTACCGACCAACTTGCTCTAATTGATATTTGTAGAACATTCCACCCAATAGCACAAGAATGCACATTTACCAAGACAGACCATATTCTTGTCCATAAGCAAGTCCTAATAAATTTAAAATATCTAAAGTATTACCGAATATGTTCTCTAATCATAATGGAATTAGATTAGAGGTCAAAAAAAGAAAGATATCTAGAAAATCTCCAAAGATTTGAAAACTCAATAACACACTTCAAAATATTTCATGGGTTAAAAAAGAAATCAAAAGGGAAATTTGAAAGTATTTTGAAATGAGTGAAAAAAAAGCACAAATATCAAAATTTGTGAGATGCAGCTAAAGCCATATGTAGAGAGAAATTTATAGACCTAAACATCTATACTGGGCAAGAAATAAGGTTTTAAATCTATGCCATCAGATTCTTCCTTAGGAAACTAGAAAAAGACAAATAAATTAAATCCTGCATCTCCAAGGTTTGGGCCAGAGCAGTTGTATGGCAGGAGAGCTGAGACAGACAGACGCCTGGGAAGACTGGGGTAGGTCAAGAACTTCACTGGTCGCACATGTCCAATGTGGGTATCTGTTGGAAATCGAGGTGGCTGTGGGAATCTGGTGCAGGGCACGTTCTGACTGAGGCACATCTGTGGATGGTGTCGGCACAAAGCAGCATTTAAACCACAGACTGGATGGGCTTCCCCTGGTGAGTGTAGACAGGCGAGAAGGGGGAGCCCTATAGGGGTTGATGCCTGGTTCTCCTCTCCCTCCCATTAAATGAATTAAAATATATTAAATCCCTCTCTCTAAAGAGAATAGAAGGAGGGGTCCTGCTGGCAAGAGAGATCTGCCAGTCTCTGGAACATCAAGTGTAGGGGAGGAGTGAGTCACAGAAAGAGGTTTTTTCCTGATGAATTGGCCATCTGACTTGCTTTGGGGTGACTCAGACAGGAGTCCAGCTGCTGCTTCCTACTGAATACCCCAAGTGCTCCTGTGCATTCCCTGATAGCCCACAAAGCTGCCCGGTGGACTCTGCTGCAGGGGCGGTCCCTGAGGAGGGAGCAAGGCCCAGGCACTCTCAGGAGTTGCCTCTGATGGGCAGGTGTCCCAGGGCCTGGTGGGGACAGCCAGAGGATGGCCTCGTGCCTGCTGGAGGTCCACGATCCTGGGAGAGATGCCTGTCTGCCACTGGCACAGGGTGGATTCTTCAGGGTCAAGGGTACCGAGTCACAGGTGACCTTAACCAAGACTGCTCCTTGTTCTCACCAGTCTACAGAGGGCACTGTGACGCTCGCTCTTGGCCGCGTGATGAAGGCAGGCCGCGTGATGAAGGCAGGCCGCGTGATGAAGGCAGGCACTGGCCTGTGCAGCAGCTCACTGGCCTGCGTGACTGATGGCAGTCGACAGCCTGGAGCCTGAGGCACCCCTGGCACTCGCTGACCCACTTTCTCCACTGTGGGCTGGAAACATTTACATAACAGATGGCTGCAGGGCCCTGCTGTCCCCCTGACACAGGAGGAGATGTTCCTAATTAAAAAGGAGGCGCAGCACCCCAGCCTGGCCACCACGTGATCCTGTTCATTGGTGCTGATAACTCGCCCTTAGCATATACTCGAATCTTTAAAAAGGGCTTTACAGGGCTTGCTGCAGGGAGTCTGTGTAGGAAGGAGCAGTGTTTACTTGGTGCCATACCATCATTTGAGCTAGATCGACTCCTTGCCTTTCTGGGCTCTTTCTTCCTGAGTGCCCTCCTTAGAAGCAAACCTCTGACATGTTCATCAACACTGCACCGTTCAGCAGAACTCTCTGCGGTGGTGGCAATGCAGCCACCAGACACTTGAGTCTGTTTATTCAACGCTTAAAATGTGGCCAGTGAATTTTTTCTTTTAAATATAAATAGCCACATAAATAGCTCTCCAAGTGGCTAGTGGCTACCGTATAGGACAATGAAGTCAGAGAACGTTAATATGTAAGGATGACTCTTAAAAATTCTCTTTGCTATGTATTATACCTTCATGTTAAATCCTTGTTATTCAAAAGTGTCATTTTATCACAAAGGGTCAGTGTCCAGACACCCCTTTGTGAGGGGCGGGGGGTGCACACGCAGGTTTCGCAGGACTTGTGTTCCTGAAGGGTTTAGGCAGCCAGCAGGTGGTGTGACACTTTCATTAGCGAGGGACTAAGTGTGGGGTTGTGTGTGTGGAGCTCTCGCAGGCCTGGCGTTTGGTTCCTCTCGGGGCTCCACAGCCTCCTTTCATGGGCCCAGCAGCTCCGCCCACTCAGGTGTACACCTGGGCAGGTGCCCACACTCCTGGAGGCCCGTGGCGCTCTCAATCCGTCAGGGTTGGCCCGGGGCCCCTCCTGGGCCTCTCATGGGACCCTTGGGCCCCAGACCTGTACCAGGTTATCAGGAATCTTCCTCAGCCAGGCCTTCCTTCCCTTTCTGGCCACCAGGCGGCACCCTGCTGTCAAAACCCTGTGGCCACCACTCCACTGCCCTCCAAGACTGGCGGATCCCCCGCTCCCATGGGGGCCACTCATGCCCATGTCCCATCCTGCCCTCATTTCCTCCTTCTCTCTGCCCTCCCCATGGGACCCTCACACACCCCACGATGTCCCTGCACTCCACGCACCCAGGCAGGAGGCTCTCCAGCTCCCATTGGTGCACCGCACTGACACAGGCACGGAGACTGCCTGCTCGAACTCCGAGAAAGGCTACCCAAACGCTCCACTCCCTTATGACCCCTGTTACCCTCAGTTACACCTCCAGGCCTAGAGTCAGGTTCTGGTGTACCCCAGGCCCTGCTCCCACTGTCTGGAGCCTGCCCATGCCTGCAGTTCCCTTGGATCTCCTGGTCTGTTCTGAGAGTCCCCTCCTGAATCTACACCCCCGGCCTCACCTGACCTTCGCATTTAATCCTCACTGGTGCCTGTCTCATGCGGCCACTCCATACACCGCAGTGGTGGTGACCTGTCACTCAAGATCCAGCCCAAAGGAGGACCTTGATGCTCCCCAAGAAGGGGCTGTGGCCCTGGGGAAACCCTGTGCAGGCCTGGGGGGGGGGGTCTGTCCTCCGCTCGTTCAGACCCATGTCACCAGCGCGCATGGCAGCCCTGTGCTTTTCCCACGAGCACTTCAGGTTGACTGCCTGTTTGCTCCCTGCCTGTAAATCATAAAACGGATCCCTAACTGCCTGGGAGGCTAAGCGCTGGGCCGACTGTTACAGAAATCATACAGTAAACATAAACCAGTGATACGGGTATGGAAAGCATTTTCTGAAACCTTTATAAAGGGGGATGCTCGGCTATTTGGCAGTTCATTTAATAGAGACTAAATCCACTTAATGAGGATTAGCAAGGAATCTTGACTGTCATTGAAAGGGGAATGTCACTGCCTGCCCTTTCCTGGCTTTTTAAGGGAGAAAGGAGTCCCAGCTGGAGGGGGGGTCCTGGCAGCAATGTGATGGGAAATGGGCAGAACTCATGTAATAGTGGAGCAGACACTCACCGGATGCACACTCAGGACCCCAGGGCTTACCGGGGAACCCCTCTCCCTCTCCAGCTGCTGAGAGAGCTCTTCCTGTTTCCCTTGTTACAGAGGCGGAAACTGAGGCCTGAGGGCTTGGTGACCTGGCTGAGGGTCACTCGGTTAGTCAGCAGTGGGGCCCCAAGGCCTGTCCCCCCACGCCGTGTTCCCCTAGCGTGTACAGGTCGTGAAGGTCACACCACTGGGAGTCCCGGGCGCTCCTTCCTCTTGCCTACAGGGGGTCCCTGGGAAGCCTTTGCCTCCTGAAGCCTCCGCCTTGCCGGCAGCAGTGGTGGAGGCAGCACCCCTGCTCCCCACCCTCCGCAGGCGAAGATCCCTGTGGTACAGGACATCCTCCACGTGGGCATTGGCTGTTGAGGTTGTTCTCAGTTAGCAGCAGCTGTGCTTTCTCTTTCCAGGTGACACCATCTGGGCCCCATCTGTCCTTCCTCACGGCACCCTTGGCACCTTAAGCCACTACCCCCAGCCGCATTTTGGGAGAAAGATGGAGTCCAAGGTCTCAGAAGGTGGCCTGAACGTGACCCTGACAATCCGCCTGCTGATGCATGGAAAGGTACAGAAGTGCAAGGCCACTGCCTTGTCACTCTCCTCGTAAAGAAAGAGTCAGACCAGCTGGGAGGAGAGGGAGGGCATGCCCAGGCCGGGTCTTTATTTTATATTATGCTGTTTAAAATTGTAAGCAATCTCAAACTGACAAAGCAGCTGCAGTACAGTCCAAATTAGGCTTCTCCTGGAACCGTTGGAGACTAAGTTGCCACCTGATGCCTATCCGTGAATACTGTAGTGTGTATTTTCTGCACACGAGGGCGTTCTCCTCCACACCCTCAGCACACCCATCAGGATGCCAACACTGATAGGTTCTGGCTACTTTTCCTCGGACCCCACTCAAGCCCACCAGCCGTCCCGATGCTACCCTTCATGACGGGATTCTCCCCAGTCCTGCCTTTCCCTTTGGAAAGTTTCCAGTCAGTTCTTTCGTAGAATGTCCCTCACTTTGGCTTTTTCTGATGTTTTCTCGTCATTGGCAGGAATGTCACAAAACCTTTCCTCTCTGGTGGCCCAGATCTTAGGGTGTCCCATTATTGATCACTTGGTTGGGGGTACCTGCCAGGCTTCTCCACCTAGACCTGCTCTGCTTCCACTGTTATGAAAAAGGCCTTGCTGGGGGATACTTAGACACCATGTAAATGTCCCGTTTGTCATCAGACTTGGAATGCATTCATTCATCCACTCATTCATCCATGTCTTCATGGACTCATGGTTTGCTATTTTATTCATATTATTCCCCATTGTTTTGATGCTGATATTGTTCCTGACTTGACCAGTGGGACCCCCTCTGTGCTTGCTCCTGTGTCCTTTTGACGTGATCCATCCTTCTTACAGCACTACCTTACTTTCTGGCACGAAACACCGCTCATGGCTCATCTTGTACTTTCCCTGCCCCAGTCCTGGAACCAGCTATTCCTCCAAAGAACTCTGACGCCTTTGAGAGGAGGATGGTGTTAGAAGCCCAGATCAGGGCACATGGGATGCTCATCACTCTTGGGCTGTTGTGGGTCCCAGACAGAGTTGGGGAATATATGTATCTATGTGTTTATGTATATAGGTGTGTGTATGTATGTATAATCACACACATGTGTATACACACATTTGCGTAATATTTATTTCCATATTTATCTCTATATATTGGGCCCCATGAGTTCACGCTCTCAATTCCAGTCCAACAGCACAGGGTTTGTTCTGGCTTCTCCATCTGTCCTGTGTTTGTGCCATGAGAAACCCGACTCCCAGTATCTGCATGGTCTCCTGCCAGGGGGCTGGCAGAGGCTCTGGCCTAGTGCCTGAGGTACTGCTCATCCTAGATTTCCAGAAGATATGCCCTTATCCTGTGTGTGGGGGCAGGGAGGAGGGTGTCACAGCCAGAGCATCCCTTTCTGTGTTGGTGAGATGATGACCAGCCTTTCATTCTCCAAACTGGGTGACGTGGTCAAGGTTGTGTGTACCACAAGAGGGCAGTCTGGGTGTGCACTGCAGAGGGCAGTCTGAGAGGTCACTTATACGGCCCCCACCTCCAGCAGCTGCCACAACAAGCACCAAACACTGCCCATGGGAGATGAGGTGCCCTGACTGCCAAAGGGGTCACTGCCTCATGCCCAGCTACTCTTTGCTGCCCCGTTCCCTGCCACACACGCCCTCCCCATGGCCTAGCGCAATTTAAGGCGTTCACCAGGAACATTGTAATTGCTGAGGACTTTGTTGTAATTAGGAAAATGAGTTTGATTTTGAAAGATATTGTTCTCTCTGGCTAGAAGCAGGGAGCCCTGTCCCTGTGAGATGCTTGGTAGCGCCTTGTGGGTCTGTCACAGGCAGGGAGGGGCTGTGACTGACGAGCAGGCCTGGCCGGGAAGTCCAAACCATCACGGGTTTCAGGCTTTAGAACCATGGCAGCGTGTTCAAGTGTGCCTTCTAATGTTCTACGTTTTTAAAAACGTCAAATAGCGATAGCAATGCTAAATTTTCTTTACATCACAAAATCGAGGGAGATTTTATTTTTCATCTTTTTCTTGCAGGGTTTCCTTAAGGCCTTAAGTGCATAGGTGATGCCTCCCAACTTATTTATCTGGAAAGCGGCTGGCCATTCTCCTTCTGCTCATCTGTCTGTCAGAGGCAGGGCCTGGATCTGGCCTTGGTCAGATGGGCACAGAGGAACCCTTGGTCTCAGGGCCTCTGTACAAGTAGCCTGCCTGTGCACTCCCTCCTGACTGTCTAAATCTCCTTCCTCACTCGTAATGGATGGGTTTCGCAGTGTCTGTCACAGGTTTTTTTCTCTTTCTGCTCTATGACGTCATCTTTCTGTGATTTTTTTCTACAGGAAGTTGGAAGCATCATCGGGAAGGTAATTACAGAGTGAACTCCCTGCCTCTATCGAGTCTCTGTAAGGGGATGACGAGGACCGCTGGCACCCCTGTGCTGGGTGGTGTGCACGTGCAGTGAGGATTCCCAGGGAATCCTGCCATCTCCTTGCCTCCAAGCTGCACCACCTTGAGGCTGGTCCCAGAGCATCGTGTTCACCAGCTCTGTGGGAGCACGGGAGGTGTTCCCCCGCAGCCCCGCCCTGGGAAGGCCCCAGCTGATGACCTCGGAAGTCTCGCCCCCACTGCCCTGGTGGTCAGTCCCTCTTCCCGGGTTTGAGAGCCCAGTAAGAGTTCTTTCACTTGCATTCTTCAGAGTAGTCTCCCACCTATGGCCAATGAGTGGCAGTGAGTCTCTTCATATTTACTTTCTAAATAAAAGAAATGTTCCTATGGGGAAAAGTAAGCTCCAATTTGAACCCTGTGCCTGTGAGAGAGGCCAGGGCTGAGGGCTACTGTCCCTGTCTGGTCACGTTTTAACTATTTCTGGGTTCCCTGGTGTCCCGAGTGGTCCCTGTAAAGTAGGGGCACCACCAGTGCTCAAAGTCCAGCTCTTTCTCACAACTGCCTCGGGGGGCAGCCTTGGGGAGTCATGGGCCATGGGCCTTGTCCCCGCTTTGCCTGTGATAAAAGTGGGGGTTGGCTGTGAACCTGTGTGCAGACCCATCCCCACACCGTGGAGCAGGTTCCCTGGCAATGTGGGGTGCCGAGTCAGGTCCCCGGGTCCAAGCCTGCCCACCGTGTGCCCCTGGGCCAGCTCCTCGGTGTCCTCCTCTGTGAGGCTCACCTGCAAGGCTGTGGTGAAGGCTGAACAAGTCACGGCGTGTGTCCAGCTCTCAGCGGCGCCTGGTACGGAGTCTGGCCTTCTGAGGGGCTGCTGCTTAATCACCTCCGGGGTGTACTGGGGCGCACAAGGCAGGCGGCTCCCAACACCGCACGCTGTCGTGCCAAACCTTCTGCGCGCCTGTAGTGGAAGCCCTGAGTGATTCCTTTCACTTGTTGTCTAATCTTTGTTCCAGAAAGGAGAAACTGTGAAAAAGATGCGTGAAGAGGTGAGTTGGCTTGCTCTCAACAGCATCCTATTTCTGGGTGGGTGGGAGATGCAAGGCCGGGAGGGCCTTTAGTGGCTCTGCACCCAGACCAGCTGGGAACCTGCTGTGTGCGCAGGGATGTCGGGGAGTGCTACCTGCTGCAGTCACCTCACTGAACAGGGGGCACACAGCAGGGGGAGGCCCCTACCTCTGACACACACACCCCAGCGGTTCAGGCACCTCTGTTTCCCCGGCGAGCAGCCGTGGATGTGGCGCCTCCTTACTGATCAGTTGGATCCTTTCTGCTGATTAAAATTGCACTATAAAGGACAGCGCTGGAAAGAATTTTACTATTTAGTATTGAGGTTTGCCCATCAGGCACCAACCAGATACGTTGGCATCAGTTGTTGTTAGTAGGCCTGGAGAACCCGGCCCATTACCGGCCCTGCTGCTTTAATCTAGTTTCTGGGTTTGCTCACCTCCCTTCTAGAGCGGTGCGAGGATCAACATCTCAGAAGGAAACTGCCCAGAAAGAATCGTGACCATCACAGGCCCAACGGATGCCATCTTCAAGGCCTTTGCCATGATTGCCTACAAGTTTGAAGAGGTGAGATGCACCCACTCAAGACCCCTGTGGGCAGACGGAGGGCAGGGCCTGGTCCCAGCCAGTTCTCCAGCCCCTCTTCCCCTCTTCCCCACATCCCCTGCTTCTGGACAAGGGCACAGCCCTGCCCACCCAGGACTCCTTACCCGGCCACCAGGACCTGTTTTGGCTCCTCTCATCTCCTCTGCCTCCCAGGGACTCTCCCCACTCCAGTCCACCTGGTGACAGGCCAACGTCCCTCCTCCTCCTAAGACCAGCGTTGCACATGCCCACCTCACTCACGTTTCCTTGAGCCCTGCCCCCAGAGCACGGAGCCCTCGGGAAGCCCTGGCTGGCACGTCTGGGCCCCAGCCTTCTCCACAGCAGCTCACCCCTGGTTGTGTAGCTTGGCTTAGATGTGGATGGATAAAGGGAGACACAGACATGTTAACTCTCATGCTGGCACATATAAATATGTGTATATTAATGTGCTATGACATTTTTGTGTACTTCTGTCAGTGAGTCAAATCTTAAGGTTTTTAAGTGTTTCCAATTTTTTTGAAATTACCAGAAGTTATTTAGAGATGATTTACTGTTTTTATTCAGAGGGTGATCAAGCTGGGGAATAAATTTTTCGGTCAAAAATGTGTCACTTTGTCTGTCCAAACCCCTCCGTGCCCCTCCAGGCCTTAAGGACAAAGGTCAAACTCTGAGCCTGGGCACCCTGTGGATCTGTGCCCTGCCCCGTCCCAGGGCAGCACTGCAGCCACTCTGACGTTCACGTCTGTGCATGGTCAGCGTGTGCAGGTTCCCCACTGCCCATCCAGCCGCCATCTCCTTGTCCTCCTAAGCCTGAATTGGCCTTCAAGCCTCTGCAACCAGCCCAGCCCATCCACTGTGTCCTTTCTCTGTGCACACTCAGCCGTTTGCAGCTGTGTGTTCGCCTCCATCTAGGAGCATGTGCGTTTCCACACTTGTCTTCCTCCCCCGTTGACTGTGAGCCTTTCAGGACGGGGACCTCACCATTGGTGCTGAAACCTGTGCCTGCCGCCACTCGGGCTCACAAAGAGCCTCTTTGAGCATGTTCCAAATGCTCTTTCACAGAGCCTCAGATTTGCACTCACTGATGTTTAAACAGCATCATGTATCGGCCAATGTGTCTTCATGTCTCCCTCTCCAGGACATCATTAACTCCATGAGCAACAGCCCTGCCACCAGCAAGCCCCCAGTGACACTGAGGTTGGTGGTCCCCGCCAGCCAGTGCGGGTCCCTGATTGGCAAAGGCGGCTCCAAGATCAAGGAAATCAGGGAGGTAACAGAACCTTCCCCAGCCCAATGGGTGCCAAGCTGCTGGGTAGGTAAGGACTCTCCCTGGGGGAGGCACTGCCACCCTCAGCAGAGTGTCAGCCCCTGTCACTGCAGACCCTGCTGGCATGGAGTGTACAAGAAAGAAGAGAACAATCCAAAAAGCAAGAGTGGAACATGGGAAACCCTGCAGCATGTGCGGACCCCCTCGCAGGCCTCGTGCAGAGGTGCCGGGCACTGCAAGAGGGAGGGGCACGTGCCCGACCCAGGACGGTTAGGGGCCTCGTGCGATGGGGTGGGCTGTAGCACTCCACCACCCAGTCACATGGCTCGAGGGCACAGAGGCCCTGCGCAGTGGGGCTGTGGTCTCTGCCCCAGTGAGGGGCCTCCTCCAACTGTTAGGCCCAGTTTCCTGGGAGAATACTCAGGCACCCCAGCTGGGATAGAGTTTGCATGAGGTTCAGACTTTATATCTACGTGTTCATCTATTCCAAGGAAAGCCCTAATCCTTCCCTCTCCCAGAAGGAAGGTGGCCGCCTAGTCTTGATTCCTGCAAGGAAAGACAGCCATAAAGTTTAGGCCCATCTAGAATCCATCTTTCTCTGTGACCTAATACTCTACAAAGGAGATAGAATTTCACATAATTGAAAAAAGTGACTGTATTTTAGCCTCTGTCTCTTGCAAACGCCCCTCTGCAGGTTAAAATGCTTCCTGTCCAACATCACTCGCCCTCACCAGGTTCATGCTGGGCAGTCGTGGGCTGAGACAGACAAGACCTGCCCACAGGGGCTCCTGAGGGAATGTGCAGCAGGCTGGGGCACCCAGGCGGGCATGGAGGGGGTGACATGGGGGGTGGGTTTCCCAAGGTGCACTGTGCCCTCGACGCACACCCTCTCAAGAGTCCAGGAAGCGCTGCTCCAGTGCACATTGTTGCCCCTCCCTCTGTCATGCCCCTTCCAACATCTGGTTTCTCCAGTCCACAGGTGCCCAGGTCCAGGTGGCTGGGGACATGCTGCCCAACTCCACAGAGCGGGCGGTGACCATCTCAGGGACCCCTGACGCCATCATCCAGTGTGTCAAGCAGATCTGTGTGGTCATGCTGGAGGTACAGTCTGTCTGTGCATCCGGGGGTCATCGCCGGCCTACCCCTCACTCCACGTTGGCTGTGGCTTCTTAGTGTCGGTGACGGCAAAGGCTTTCCCACCTTGGGGACACAGGATTCACATGGTCAGGGCCATATGGGGGCTGGGTGTCAGGAATGTGACCTGGGTCCCTGACCCAGGCCCAAGGCAACCTGAATGAGAGCTGTGCTGGGTGTGCAGGTGCCGTGGGAAGGGCAGCCCCTGGCACCCGCCACCTTGGATGGGTCCATCGTCTTCACTGGGGAGTCGAGGAGAGAATATGTGGGGAGGCACGTACTCCTCCCCTCATTTCTGGAATTGGGTGAAGAGTTGTAGTCCATGGAGTGAGGGGTGTGCAGCAAAGGGTTGGGTCTTAAAAATTGTGCAAGTCTGCGCTGGAGACAGTCTGCACTGGAGATGTGCATGGGGAGGTGGAAAGGCTCACGCTGTGGGCAGGACTGCTGCACTGGGCCAGTTGGGGTAGGCGAGGCAGGAGGCCTGTGCCCACCAGGCCTGCAGACATCAGAGCACCACCGAGGTACAAAGGGCACAACTTAGGAAAAACACATGAAAATGCCCAAATTATAAAGACAGAGAGGAGTAAACAAAAGGATTAAAACTGAAGGAGAAGCAAAGAAGGCCCAGCTGAGCAGGAAAAAGCCTGTCTTGAAATTTTGGGGGGAAATACCCTGAGATTTAAATTTCAACCAGTACCCAAAATGCAGCAAGATTCATCGAAGCTATCAAAGGCTGCTGAAATTTAACCTAAAATGAAGTCATCCTGCCTCAGAGGTTCCAACAGCCATGCTGGTGGCCTGGCGGCCGGGCCCCTCTTCTGCCCCACGCCGCTGTCCCCGAGAGCGAGGTTCTGCTCGAGGTAACCACAACAGCAATCCCCACAGGAACTGAAGCCTCAGCGGGCAGCTGTGGGTTCATCCATCTTTTGTACTTGGCTTGGTGTGAAAACCCATGTCCAGCTCTTTAAAAAAACGTGTATAGTTTTGATTTTTCTGAAGTATATTTTGTGAAGTCAAAAATATTTTTCTAAATAGTGTAGTTCTGAAGTTTTCCCCAACTACTAGTCCTGATGACAATCAGTGCTGGCCTGTGTTCCCTTCAGTCCGTAGCCGCTGGGACACTGGAGGGGCTGCATGGGCAGACGGTGAGTGGGGCCCAGCCGACAGGGCCACAGTGAGCTGGGGATGCCCAACAGGCTGCATGTGCTTGTCTGTTAGGCAGTGAGGGCACCTCAGAGTGACAGGGGGATAGAACAGTTCCAGGAGGACAGAGCCTCCTCCACCCCTCCTCAAAGGTCAGAGCAAACCCATGGTCTCCTCAGGACTCTGCACAAGTGGCGTGGCCTGTGCCATGTTTGTGGTCAGATGCGGCCCTCACAGATCAGGCTTGACCCCCATTGGCCGTGGGGCCCTGGTGCCCCCAGGGCCATGATTGGAACAGCCTTGTCTCCTTCCCGAAGGCGGGGGGGGGCATCTGTGAGACGGTGAACGTTGAAGTACAGTGCAAATAGGTAAACACTGGGCTGAGGTGATGCCTCGTTCTCGTTGGTTACAAAGCTCCCAGAGTGGGGATGGGGGGACGGCCGTCTCACCAGGGAGAAGATTCATGGCACCTAGAAACAACTGGGCCCGTTTTTCAGTGAAGAGGAACTGGACAAATGGAGAAGTTCAGAGGACTTTCAGATGTGGCTGTGGGGTGGACCTGACACCCTTGAAATTACCACCGCGAGTCTGGGCCGTGTGTGAGCGAGTCGGGTGGAGAACACAGGTGTCATGGCCACGGCCTGCCCGGCGACGCCTGCTGCATCCCAGGGGACTGTGGGGGGCTGTGCTCAGAAGGCCTCTCCTCTGGCAGAGGAAGTTGGTGAGAACGGGAATTGGGAATCACAAGCAAGAGGCCCCGGGAGAGCTCACAGTGCCGAGATGGCAGGCACTGCCGTCAGTAGGGTCAGAGGGCACCAGGGATTGGGGGTGACACACTGAGGCTGAGAGTCACGAGGAGTGTGCTGCTCAGCATCGGGGCAGGGGGACAGCAGCTGGACCAAGTCCTCTGCTTGATGCAGTGAAAACGCTCACTCATTCACTCTCGGTCTCATCACGATTCTTCTGCGATCAACCCTGAATCTGATCTGAGACCACAATGCACCCCAGTTTGCACAGACGTTTCTGGAGGCTTTTGATCATAACCACAGAAATACTGAAGATGGGCCTTCCCTGGGAGCCCAGTGTCACCCCAGGCAGCAGTCAGCTCACGGGCCCTCTCAGCAGCCTTCCCGCTTTACAGCAAAGTCACACAGCATGGCCAAGGTCACATGGCATGGCCTGGGCTACAGACTTGAAGCTGCCACCCACTCTGCTGAACCTGTCTCTTCATCACTTTGTGTGTCTCAGGTGGGGGCACTCTGAGATCACATCTTACTGGCGGGGCCACAGGCTGGGCCTGAGTGGGCCATGGCCTCCGGAACTCCCAGCAGTGACAGGCTGCTCTGGCCAACCCCCTCTGCCTCTGACCGGTGGTGTTGCTCACCTGGAGACTCCTGACTCGCTCGCCTGGGCCAGGCCCAATGGCCTCTGCTCCCAGGGAAGACTGCCACCCTCTTGATTGCCTCTGACCAAAGGGTTTGGTTGACTTTGTCAGAATCTGGCAGACTTCTGGTACTTGAGAATATTCTTCACCCTGAGAGAAGAATCCTGTACTTTTGGACACAAATAATCAAAGGAAATTATAGCAAACCTCACCACGACTGTGGAATATTTCATTTGGACTCTAAACTTTTTGAAAAATACCTCCTTTTTTTATAATAGTGAAATTGGATGTTTCTAACTTTCCTGTGATGGTGTCTATTGAACATCACCACAGGCCAAGCACAGCCTTTGGAGCACTGGGCATAGAGTTCCCACAGTGGAGCTGCGCACAAGCTCGGCTTTTTCCCAGGGATTAATGAGAGAGAGATTTTCTCTCAGACTTCAACACCAGGCTGACACACACGTGGAGCGACAGCACCCAGGGCCACGCAGGCAGGGTCTTATCTTCGGTTCTTACTCCGTCTGGGGACCAACCCTCTGTGCCACCAGGGGAGCCCGTCTGGCATCTGGCAGGGTGATTGGCGCCCAGGCTGGGCATATTTAGGGCGGTGGTTCCAAGGAGGAGGGGGTGACCCTCTGGAGGAAACTGGGGTGGTTCCTGCAGATGGCCTTCCTGCCCTAGGGCGCCCCCCACCCCTCCTGGCACTGCTGCGCCTGAGGGGCTGGGGCGGGCGGGTGGCACAGCAGGGGGCGGGCTCGGGATGAGGCCTCCCCCATCGTCACCACTGTCATGCTGCAAAGCTGCTCTAACGCTCTCTCTCCCTCTCCTGTCCCTTTTCCTAGTCCCCACCGAAAGGTGCCACCATTCCCTACCGCCCAAAGCCCGCCTCCACCCCTGTCATTTTTGCAGGTGGTCAGGTAAGAGCCGACCCGCTCGCGGCCTCCACTGCCAACCTCAGCCTTTTACTGCAGCCCCCGCCGCTGCCCGTTAGTGCACTCAGGTTTTCTCCCTCCTCACGTGCACGTCTCCCCCCACCACGCTGGATGCAGAGCTCTCCCAGCCCACTGCCAGGCCCCGGGGTGGACGAGAGAGAGGCTGGCCTGGGCAGCGTCTAGCAGACAGAAAGGGCCAAGGCAGGCGTCCTGTGGAGTCTGGATGCAGAAACGTCTTCTCCCTGGACTGGCACAGCAAGACCCTGGTTCCATGTTTGTACCTGGTTCTGCCTGAGCGACACTCGCCAAATCTAGTTCTCGAGTGTTTTTAAGAAGCTTAGTTAGAAGGGCCAGGAACATTACAGGTGGCTTTTAGGACTGTAAGAACTAGGGTCCCATTTTCCCCTGAAATACATGTTCCCAACTTCCCACAAATGAGTTTATCCTGGGAGCACATGAGAGAAGAGTTGTGCTGCCAAGGAAAGGAAAGATGCCCAGTGGGCGAGAGCCTTCCTGGTTACAGCGATGGCCGCGGGCCGGGCAGGCCGGGAACGTGCACTTTACACACCTGTTGTTTTGGCTGGAGCCACTGACCTCCTTTCTCTTCTACCAAGGAGGGGCCTAGAAGGCCAGAGGTCGCAAAGAAATTTCTGTCTGAGGCCAGCAGTCCCCCTAGTAGGGCCTAGAGAGCTGCCTAGAGGGAGCTGTGCCTGTTTCCTCCCAAGTGCCCACTCCTGCCGTCCAGCACCTGCCCAGAGGCGTCCGCAGCAGGAGCTCATTTTGTCCCACTCACCAGGATCACTCAGCTGCGCGGTAGATGGATTTGGAAAACGCCCGGCCAGTGGTGCCTGGAGGAGCTCTGCGTCCAGTCGGCAGTGACGTGTGTCTTTGCTCAAGGGAGAGTTAAGACAGAGACTTCCCAGAGGTGACGCAGGTCAGGGGAGAGTGACCATGAGGTTTTAGTTTATTATTACAAAAGAAAGGAAAAAGCGAAATAAAAATTTTGTCCATGTTTTTCTTTACTACATAAAGGAATCTTATCAGATCTTCAGATTGACTCACATGTTAGGTGAAGGGCAGGATCTGTGTTTCCACGGCTTTAGCAGTATTTGTGGTGCTTACCACAGTGAGGGACGCAGCGGCTCCCACATGGCCTGTGTAGTTCAGTCTCCCAATGGCCCTGCCCTTTGCCATTAGCTGTCATGTCCATACATCATTCTCTAACAGCCCTAGGATGTGTGCACGTCCCCATTTTACAGGTCAGAAAGTGAGGCCTAGAGGTAGGGACCTGAGGACCTGCAGCCATGCCCCCTCCTCGCCAACCTCAGGGAGCATGGGGGCCCAGAGACACACAGCAGGCCTGGTTCAGAACTGTTTTCTTTTCACCCAAAGTTGTGGTCAGCTAGAAGGTTGGTTACCTACGTGGTGTTGACCCTAACGAGTAAAGAGATCCATGATGATTCTGCGTGGCGAAGTATGGGACTTTTTTAAAAAAGGGAGGCACGTTGACACAAATGGGGGCCCAGGAAGCCACATGGGTGAGCCCAGCCTGCATCATTTAGGTCACTTCCCCGTCTAAAGCAGGGGCACTAGGCTGACCTCTCAGGGCAGCAAGGTTACTGCCATCATGGACACCTATCCCAAGGCTGTCCCCAGGATGTCAGCATCTTAACCTGGCCCCTGTGCCCTTGAGACAGTCTGGTCTGACCAGTGGCTGATCTTGGTCATCTATGGGGGAACAAAGTCACATGAGAGTTGCCACTGCACTGCAGGTAACCCAGCAGAGGAGCCACAGTACAAACTCAGAGATGAGGGTGTGAATGAGACCTAACGCAGCAAGGGGTCCCCTCCAGAATTGGTCCCCACACCACCAAGTGCAGGACACACTACAAAGCCTAGACTTCAGAGCGATGTGGCCCAAGAACCTCGCCCTGACTTACCTCTGTGAAGAGGCCCATTCCTATGGGTGCTCTGCCTGCACAGGCGAAGTGGGGCCCTGGAGGTCGCAAGGGCCTGGCAGGCGTCCTCACTGCAGAGCAGCAGTTCCTGCATTTCAAGCGGGTCCCAGGCCATGAGGGTTTCATCCAGACAGAACCTTTAATCTGTCTGTCTGTCTACATTCTACCTCCATCCAGAGAGGATGGTCAGCTGCTCACACGGTTCAAAGAGAACTAGAAACCACAGCTGCCTAAGTGAATAAAAGATAAATCAGAAACGTAAAATGTCTAGGATGAAGAGTGGCCCTGTCGGGAAATGCTCGCAGTTCTGCTCAGAAGCCCAGGGCTGAGAGGGCAGAGGCCCGACCTGGCACAGTCCTGCCTTGCTCTGTGGGGGCAGCATGTGTCCTGGGGCCTCTTACATTTGGTGACATATGGGAGCATGTGCCTCGTGGCAGCTCCACAAAATCTGAAGATGAGGTCTTGACGCAGTTCCTGTGGACCCTGTAACAAAGTACAGTGCAGCGTGACCCACTTCTTTTTCGCTGGGACACTTGCTCTATCCGATAAGATTCCTTTACTTCCTCATGAAATGCCAGCAGACTGGGGGCCTCACCTCCTGTGGTCCCTGACCAATTGCTCCTTGGCTTTAACTCCCAGGTTGGGTTGTTTATGATGAAAACTCTCAGCAGATTCAAGACCTGCGGTTTGGCAGAACCTTGGAAACCACCCTCGGTTTGGGGTCCATAGAGGTGACACATGGACTGGCCTGAGGTTTCCCTCTCAGGTGCACAGGGACCCCTGAATATGGACGCAGGTGGGTACCACATGTCCACTTAGGACGTGGCATGGGGGCCCCACATGGCCAGGTGCTGGAAGCCATGTCCCTCCACACCTGTGCCACCCCACGCCTGCAGGCCCGAGTGTGACTGGCCCAGGGCTGGTGAGGCACATTCCACATCACCGAGGCCTGATGGCAAGTCTTTGGTCTTTACTCTCCCTTGACTCCGTGTGGTTCGTTTGTTTTTTGGCCATGAGTTTCTAGCAGCATCTTAGCTGAGGGACTGTTGAGGCAGGTGGAGGTGGGCGCAGTGGGTTTGAGTATAGGCGGGTGGGAGAGGCTGCAGGGCTCCACCTGCTGGCTGGTCCGAGTCACTGTCTTGAAGGCAAGTGAAACCATGAAACCAAAGCGAGGCATCGGGGACCCACACTGACCCCTCTGGGAGCTGTGGTGTGAGCCTGCTGCCCCCCAAGTCAGAACAAGCACCCAGACCTCTGAGGCTGAAAGACGAATCGGTCAATCCTGCAACTGATTGGGTGCATTTCTTACTTAATGTGGCCTTTGCAAAATTGGTTTTGGGTCACCTTTTAAGAGTTTCTTTTTTTTTGTTTGCTTTTCTTGGGGTAAATGTTTCCTAAAAATGTTTACTCTGATGGCTCATTAAATAATCAAAAGATTAATAATCAGTGAATCTATAAAGGGGGTCAGATTATTCTTAGATATTTTCTTTAAGAAACCGAGGGAGTGAGAGTGGAAGCATTCCGAGCTGAATTGTTCTCCTCCCTTTCTGCTGACGGCCAATCTCAGCTTCCTGCAGCTCTCAAAGGGAGTGGGGTGCGGCTCCCCTGCTCATGTGTCCCATTGTAGCTCAGGCCACCGAGGGGCGCTGGCAAGGCTTGACACCAGGACAGCCCCAGTCTCTGTACCTCTACGTGCCCTAGGAGGATTCGCCTTTCCTCCTCCAAGATTGGGGGCGGATGGGGATGTGCTCAGTGTGGGGGAAAGCTTTAACCAGAGGGCCTTCAGACCGTTCACAGGAAAGTCCCAGCCACCAGAAAGCCCTTATCTGCAGGGGGCACCACGGGGGTGACAAGCGCAGCCAGCTGCTTCTCCAGCTGACAGTGTCTCTCTCTTCCTAGGCCTACACGATCCAGGGACAGTATGCCATCCCCCACCCGGAGGTGAGTTTTCACTCTGTCTCCCTGTCACCTTCTCTTCTTGTTACCATTCACCTACCTGCATGCTGCTAATTACTACTAATATTAATATTACACAATAATATTAATACTGTTCTCTCCATGTTCTTGACCTGTGTCGTATCCATATGACCTTGAATAGCCTTTAACCTCGTAGCACTAACTCTGCTCATGTGGAGGACTTGGCCTGATGTCAAATTGTTTTGATTGTTGCTGTGGTCCGGGGTTTTCCTCCCCACGCGAGGCCTCAGGTGGTGACGGCAGGACTGCTCTGTCCCCGGCACATGCCCGGTGGGCAGGGAGAGCCGAGCGCCTGATGTGCACCTAAGGAGTTAGGTGACGTGCTATCCAGCAGGTCTGAGACATGTCGGAAAGGGCATTTGAACATCTGGTGAAGCTGCACGCTCTCCCCTTTCAGAGCCCAAGTTGAAACGGGATCTCCACGTGTGTGAAAGTCAGCAGACAGGCTTTGGTTTTCATTGTGGTGTTTGTCAAATACAGCACAGGGCGTCGAAGGCCTCCTGCCCCGCAGTCAGGCCTGCTCAGATGTCTGCTGACACCTGGGCCCTGAGGTCTGCCCTAGAGGAAATGAGGCAGGAAGAGAAGAGGGAGCAAACCCCAACTCCATTCTGAGAAGCCTTTTTCTTCTCTAGACCATTTTGCATATTTGCCCAGCTCGGCAGCCTCTCCCGGGAAAGCATTTCCCACCGAGTGCACTCTCTCTGAGCTGAGCTGAGAGGCTGCCGTTCCAGACAGGGAGGTGCTACCAGGTTGACGCATGATGCTCTGAGTCCTCTACAAACCCTCACACTTTTGAATTGGGCGGGAGAAGAGATGGTCGTCTAAGATATAAGACAAGGCGGGGGAGGGTTTATAAGAACTAACTGGCACTAGATAAGTGTCTGTATTGGAAAGACAGAGATTCAATTCACTATCATTGCAGGAAAATTTCTACTGAGTAGAAAAAAATACTGATGGTTTTTCCTTTTTTAAAAAAAGTCCTGAGTAAGCATCAACATGCATAGGAATCAAATGATAGAGAACCCTGATGAAAAGAAGTCCTTCCCCACCCCAGTCATACCCCTAGAGGCCATTTTTCATGGCTCCTGGTTTTAGACCTGCGGTGATGGCTGCCGTACACACATCTGCCTGTCGCAACGTGGGAAGCCGCCTTTGTCCTGCCCGAAGCGCTGTTCGGGCTCTCGTTGTTACATGGGAGCACAGTTGCCACATGCAGGCGGTTCTGGGGTGACACCCAGTTCTGTCCACAGCTCACTCCAGTCCCTCTGCCTGCTCAGCCCACTGCTGCAGCTGCCCACAGCCCTCACAGGGCCGCAGCACCTCGGCCTCCCCTTGAGGACATGTGTTGAAACCTGGCATCTGCTAGTGATTCCCCCACATGCCCCACTTGCTGTTATTGGGGATGCTCTTCATTCTTCTGTGAGTTTCTTTTAATCAGATCTCAGGAGGGGTGGAGTGGGGAAGGTGTGAACCCACTCAGCCTTCTCGAAAGAACCATCAGCAGCTTAAAGAAAAGTCAGCAGCATTGCCCATGAAGATGAAACAGCAGCAGAGGGCTGTAAGGCCTCCCCAAGAGCAGGCAGGAGCAGGCCTCATAGCTGAGGAACCTCTCTGATTCCAGATGGGTGAAGCTCATCATCTTAACTGACAGCCCACTGTGGCTGAGGGGAAGGCAGATGTTAGGGCCTGGAGAAGGGTGGCCCGTCCCCAGGTGCAGCAGCGCCACACAGAGTGAGTGAGCACGTGTGCAAGGGCAGGTGGGGCTGCGGTTGGGAGGCACTGCGATGGGCATGTTCTGTGGCTCCTGAGAGAATGCCCTGAGTGGCGGGAAATCAGAGAAGAAGCCAAGAGGGCCAGGGGCCTAATTTCTTGGACGGCACAGTGTTCGTTCAACATGGGGCAGAGCAGTCTTATGCCTTTAGAAATGCATCTTCTAGGGGCCGGCCCCGTGGCTTAGTGGTTAAGTGTGCGTGCTCCGCTACTGGCGGCCTGGGTTCGCGCATTGATGCACCGCTTGTCCGGCCATGCTGAGGCAGCCTCCCACATACAGCAACTAAAAGGATGTACAACTATGACACACAACTATCTACTGGGGAGAAAAAGGGGAAAAGAAGGAGGAGGATTGGCAATAGATGTTAGTTCAGGGCTGGTCGTCCTCAGCAAAAAGAGGAGGATTAGCACAGATGTTAGCTCAGGGCTGATCTTCCTCACAAAAAAAGAAAAAAGAAATGCATCTTCTAAACCAGATTCAAAAACCTGGTTCTTTGGCTTTTTTAAAGCTCAAGAAATGAAAGGAAACACAGTGGTCTGGCCCCCTAGTGAAGGGCAGTTTACCCCAGAAATGATCATGAACAGTTCTAAGGTCGATGCTCAGACCCACTGCCTCTGGCACGGCCTGAGCTGGCAGAAAAGTGTTTCTGGTCTGAAATTTCCACAGTGTGGGCACCTGTGCCTGTGTGAGGGCAAGGGATTTTGATTGGTTTGGTTGATTCATTTTTATATTAATTGGTGGTTCTGCTCTTTGCATGTGATTTTTTCATATCTCTTAAAAATGGGTAGTTTCACAGATTTTTTTTTTCAGGTTAGTTTGAACTGATTGTTATACAGTTGCCTCATTGTGTTTGGTAGAGCTTTGAAATACTTGGCTGCTTCTCACGGAATGGCTTTCTGTGCAGGACATTCTGCCCTCTAGATCTGCACCAGGTGGTGGTGAGCAGCTGTGATGACGGGATGGCGGGAACTGTGATAAATGCTCTTCCGGCAGGCACAGAGAGTCGAAGACTTGGACAATCACTTAGATAATCTGTTGAAAATAAATAAAATGACGGTGACATGGGTGATGATGGCCAGGAAGGCAGGTTTCATCTGTGCTTAATATTTGGTCAGAATTTTAAAAGCTTCAATTCTTAGAACCCAAATATAATAATTACAGGAAATACTACTTTATTTTATAACTGAATACACAATTTAAATATTTCACCCACAGCAGCTGACACATACACCACAGTCATCTTTTAGCAGCTAATATCTTACCTGAATCAGATGCAGACTATGATTTCTTAGAGCTGAATAATTGTTTGTTTAGAACTAAAATATTCATGTTTTTCTGAACCCAACTTTAAAGAATGCTTTCTGATTTACCCTTATTTAAGAATTGTCAGGACTCCCAGCCTCGCCAGTTTCCCTCCAGGTTCTCGCAGGCCATGTGCGTTGTTTTACCCGAATCCTTCTGGAATCTTATCCCTCTCTGGCATTCCAGAGAGGTGCAGGGACTGCTTGGTGGCAGAGTCACCATCTGACCACTGGAGTTCTCTAGGGTGGCTGCCTGTCAGCCGTGGAAGCTGCCCACTCACCCCGTGTGTCCTGCCTGAGGGGTCAAGCGTTGTTTCAGATGCAAGGAAGGGAGACAGCAGGGACTTGGGCCCTGGGAGCAGATGTGGAGAGCTGAGAAGCCTGGAAAGACAGCACAGTGACCACTTCACTCTCTCTCATTCAATATTTCTGTCATTCATTATGGTAGTGTGATAATACCAGGAAGAGATGGTTTTCTGCTGGAAGAAATTAGTCAACTTCGAGCTTACCTTCGTGTTTCCAGGTCACTCCCTGACTTAATATCCCCCTCAGTTAAAGAGGATGATGAAAGCAAGCAAAAACAGAACATGTTAGAGGTGAGGACAAAGGATTTGCCATCTCTACTCTCTTACCTGGGCCTGGCACTAACCGTGTGAAGTAGCCATCAGGACCACCATTCCAATTTCTCACATGGGAAAGTGGAAGTTTCTAAAGGTCACTTGCCCAGTGCTAAAGAGCCAGTGAATGGTGGAGCTGGCTCACTCCCTACATCACTGGATTTCAGCAGAGGATGTTAAGTAACTGGGAGTTAGGTGGGCACCACTATCTGCCAGGAAGCTTGTTCTTTAATGAGGCAATAGTGGGAAACTGTAGAAATATGTGAGTCATAATAAAAATAACAGAAGTCAGTGGAAGGATGCATGCTTAGGTCTATATTGAAAGTGGTTCCTGTTCTCCACTACCGGGGGCTGTTGGTTTGGACAATTCACTGTGGACACATGAATGAATGTGCACTCCCCTGATGACAGACGGTTACGGAGTGCTTTCCCCTTCCACTTCCTTTGTCTCCATCTAGAACCCTGTGGGGAGGTGGCGCTGAAGCTGTTCCTCGCATTTCACAGTGAAACAGTGGAGAGGGTAATCAGCACTGCGCTCCATGTCCACGCAGCCGATGGGCTACACCTCTGGTTGTTCCTTCTGAGATCCTGCAGCTCAAGCAGTGGAGAGGTGTCCATGGCCCCATCTACGGCCAGAGCAGGGCTACTGCAGTCATCCGCTCATAAAGTAGGAGAGCCAGGCTAACTTGTGCTGTTGGTTTGAATTAAATCTTTCCTTTCTCTGCCCCTGGGTTAAACGTTCCTCCCAGCCTACCCCTTCTCAGAATCAGAATCTGCATTTTCACAAGACCCCTAGGTGACTTGCTTGCACATGAAAGTCTGAGAAACACTGATAACAAGAACTGAAAATGTATCTTGCGCCTCAGGAAGAGATAATAGAATGGATTGAGGGAAGATTCTAAGAGATAAGCATTGACAAATTAGTAATAGAAACCAGTCCTCACGTTCAGGAGTCCCACAAATCCCAAACAAGATAAACAAAAAGAAATCCATCTTAGACATATCAAAGTAAAACCACATAACACCAAGACCAAAAGTAAATCTTCAGAGTAGTCAGAAAAAGAATATTACAAAGAAACAAGAGTAAGAAAATGAGTTGACCAGCAACAATGGAAGCCAGATGATGGTTGCATAATAAAAGAAAATCATTGTCAACCTAAAATTCTATCTCAAGAGGATCTTCCAAGGACCTAAATACAAACATTTTCAGAGATACAGCTGTGACCAACAGGCTTCTAATGGCTGCCCTTCAGGAGAAGGAAAGTGATCGCAAAA